TTTCCCTAAGTTGATTTTAAGTTAATTATTAAACTTTTAAGTTTATCACCCATTCGGGCAAAGCTATTTGTGCAAAAAAACAACTTATAGTAACATACAAGAGTAAAACAACAAAAGAGAATGACCAGCACAGACTGTGCATCATGTCCTTCACCAATATCTGCTGCTCTGTTTGTTTTTCAGGGGCTGTATGAGCACACAGTCGAAACTCAAGAGGTTGTTAAAGACCCTGTTCAAGGTAGTTACTGCAGCTACGCACAGTTTTCATGTCTTTTCTAATCTGCCTGTACTGGTGCCTTTGTTCTGTCAATATTAAACTAAAGCATACAGATAAAAAGAGACTAGCATCAGTGTTATTTATAAAGTCATACACTTTATTTCCTGAACACCATTTGTCATATCTTTCATTGTACTCTAATATGTGTCTCTGGTTTGAGGCAGTGATTAAAATGCTGTAACATGACTTTTACATTACATAAAGGTCTGCAGGTTGTACCAGACAGTTTCTTGCTTTCATTTAATCAGGAGGGACTACTTCTCTTTAGGACAGACATTTGAAACTGTCACCCTCCCTAAACTGAAACACCATGCATCGGCACCTTTTGTTCACCTTGTGACTTTAACTAGACTTATTAAATTCTAAAAGATATATCACATCAATACAGTGCTTTCTATGCAATGTTGTGTGACCACAGCCATATTGGAGGCAGAGAGTAAAGGTCCTGGTGTCCATATTGCAGTATAAGATCTTTATGATTTCAGACTGATCTTTGATAGCTGTGTTGAAAATTTGTTACCATCTTATCAAATATTGTGTAAGATTTCACAGAAATGACCAAGCTCGATCTTTTTCACAGCTGACATTGTAACTGTGTAACTGAAAACTAGGCCACTTGATGCAATTGAGGCATTTTTAACACAGTTTGTTTAACCCGAGCTTTTCCTGCTGTGAAAAATATCTGCTGACAGTAAATTCTGCACATGTTGCTTGTAGAGCAGACAAACTTAACCAGATGGTGTTTACAAGCAGTCAACAGTTTACCCAGTGTAACGGTGCTGTTTTTCTGTGTGTGTTTCACCAGAGACCATCATGAGTGATTTGTCAGCAGTGGCTCCTGGGATGGTGAAACAAGCTATCCAGGTTATAAAGGTAGCACACCAAACTCACGTCAGTGTTTATCTACAAACGTGCGTTTTATAGATGCATTACTGACACGTGTGTTTCGGTGCAGTCAATCAACACTTTACAGAAACAAGCTGAAGGCCTCTGTGAGGTCCTCAGCATGAAACCCAGTCTCACCACTCTGGAGATCCACAGAGACGTGTTCGACTGCAGCAGCCAGTTCGACGCTCCTCTGCCTTCCGTGGGTGGAGCTACGAGGAGCAGGCAGCCAATCAAGCGAGCCACAGAGGAAGCAGCAGCTGCACACTGCTACGTGCCACCCAACAAGAAACGACACCACCCTGTGGCAGAGGGAAAACCTCAGTGATACTGTTATTCAGCTCTTTAAAAGAAGAGGAGACAGCTGTTAAAAAGTATATTGTAGTCATTTTAAACATAGTGAAAGGTTAGTAAAGGCTCTGTGACTTATATTTGGACATGAATAGGCAATATTAACATAGCTATAACTATAAATACCATAAACAATGATCTGTCCCCGTTACTCTTGTGCATTCCTACTGCTGGATGGCACAAAACCACAAAGGCACTTTTTAAATGCACGAATGGCTAAAAGTGCCGCTCTCTCCTCCGCATATATGAATATTTTCTGCTTGTTTTCTTTTATGCCATATTAACATAAACATTTTTGCGGTTTGGACAAAACATCTGAAGCCGCCATCTTGGGCTCTTGGGAACTGGGATGGATATTTTTCATTATTTAATGACATTTTACGATAAATGGCTGAAGGATTTACTGATAATGAAAATAATTATTTGCACCCAGAAGCCCCTTCTTAATTTTTGATTCTGTTTATACTGACCAGTATCTGACTGAATTAAACCACTGGCCCAAACCATTTGTACCTTACAGGAGTAACAAGTGCATTTGTTGGGGTCTGATTTTCCACATTTGGTCTCTTTTGAGTATGTACATAGCAGGCGGAGCATGTGGGATTAGCTTTAAGGATAAACTAGTGACCTACATGCAGTGACCATGGCGCCCAGTGCAGCATCATGGCTCATGCATGAATTCAGTCAGTCCACAAACCTTCTGGTCACCCGTGGCCCCCCGAGTCATGTGACTTATATGAATTGCCCTTGGTGCTTCTTCTAAAACGGCAGCGAAATTGAAAAGTGAAAAGAAAGCTGAAGTGAAACTCTGCAGCCTGTTTCTTGCCTGGTTGTTTTAACTTCACTGGACTCGATGCCCAATCTACAAATAACACTTGATGCTGTCTGACGGAGCCAGTCTGCAGGACTTCCTCCTGGTTCTTTTGTACATTTTGATGCACACATTAGAAATCTGTGATGTCAGACTGCGATTCTTTCTGCCAGTCTCATCAAAGGAATAGCAACAACAACCAGGACTGTGAAGGTTGTGAGGTAAGATCATGTTTTAATGCTTTTTGTTCTGGTACAGCCTGCTCCTTATGCCACAAAGCGGTCAAAGGCCATGGCTCCAAATATGGGGCATTTTGAATGAATGTCTTGTGATCAAAGGGGAATATCTCTGGTCGTTTGTTTTGTTTGTGGGGAAAGTGATGTGGGCAGGTTAGCAACACAGAGTTCGGAACAAACTGTACAACTGGGTTGCAGTGAAGCTTAAACGTGTGTGTGTGTCAGGGTTCAGAGGATGAAGACAGGAGGCTGAAGAAGAGAGAGAAGAACAGAGTTGCAGCACAGAAGAGCAGGAAGAGACAAATGCAGAGAGCTGACCTGCTGCATGAGGTGTGTGTCTGTGTCTGTGTCTGTGTGTGTGTGTGTGTGTGTGTGTGTGTGTGCTCATGCTCCTGTACATCCACCCTTGTAAGCAGTGAATAAATCTTTGATGCAAGGACATTTTATCTGTCCCTCGCTGCTTAAATGGCTGGTGAGGGCCAAGACTTGGTTTTAGGGTTCGAGGTTGAATGAGCACTTCAGTTATTGTGCTCAGAGAGGAGTTTTCCTAAAAGAAATTAATACTGCAGCTGCTGGAGTATTTCAGTTTCTGTTCCCAAGCTCCAGAACCACTAGATCCCACTATTGTACAGCACATTAGGACACTCCCAGCCTGGTGAATGTTCATGTTACTTAGCCTCCACTCCCCAGACTGTATGAGATAACAGACTTGGTATTATTAGTGCTTGTTTGATGTGTATAATTCAGGAGTTCCCCTTAAAGGTCCTGAGTATGTCTGGCCTATATGTAGAAAAAAATAAAGTACATGAAGCAAATCTTAGCGTGATCAATGCAGTCCTTCACTCCTGTCTTCCAGGCCTGTGAGCTGTTGGAGCAGAGGAACAGAAAGCTGAGGAGAGAGGTGCACTAACATGCACTGTCACCATCGTCCCTGCTGGGATAAGATCACTGTCTAGTTGTAATATACATTACTGGTACTGTTAAGATGCACAGCTGTTCATACGTAGGAACAGTTATGAACTCATTAAAAGCTGAGGGGACTTTAGTGGACACAAATGCTTTAGGGGAAATAAAAGCAACCTGAGAGTCGCTGTGTGTTGATGTCTCTCCAGGTAGATTCTCTGTCTGAGGAGCAGCGCCTGCTAACCGAAGCTCTCAGAGCTCATGAGCCCTTCTGTTCCACCATGCACTGCTCCTTCGCCTCCTCCAGCTCATCCAGCCTGCAGCCTGACAACATGGCCGCCCGTTCTGTCTGAGGCAAGCAACAATGTTTCTGACCCCAGTTATGTAACCTGTCTCTAACTCACCGTTGTGTAATATAGCAGTACACCTGCAGAGGGCGCTGTTCACCATGACCAGGGGTGAAGCGGTGACGCAACAGGTGTGAGCTGCTGCTGAGCTGAACTCTGGCGACAGCATACCCGTTCACATTGAACAGCGCCCTCTGGTGGTATGGTGTATGTAATGTAAATAGAGCTAAACACTTCACTGATTCAGAGTTCTGGCTTGTACAAGCAAACATTAAAGTTCAAACTGCTAAATGTCATTACTGATTTCCAAGTTTTGGTCTTGGTTACAGTGCATGAGTTTAATTCTAGTTACATGTATAAAAAAGCCACATGCATTCTCCCACTAACCTTCCCAAACAGAACAGTTAATGAAAACAACATAATTCATCTAAAGATTGTAGAGCATTTAAAAAAGCAGAAAGGTACAGAAAAGAAATGAGAAGATACATTGTGTATATAGTAAAATCCGATTGTTTAAAGTCTCACTGTGGTGACTAATGTATGAAAACTGCAAAACCCCTTAAATGTGTCACACATTTTCCTGTAATAGTGTACAAGGTCAATATCACGCATCACTGTGGGGAACCAGAAGTCTTCTGGGATATTATGTCATTGTATTGAAGTTCTTAAGGTCATGTTGAAGTCATTGACATGTCAGAGAGGATCTATAAACCTATCTGCATCAGAAGTCTGTTGATCAGTTACACTTACTAAAAGTTTCACTTCCTCAAAAGGACCACAGACATCAGAAGTTATGGCTTTAAAATCTGCCTGAGGTTTTGTTTTCATTTTTCACACTGAGATGAGTGAAACGCTGATGTCGATGTAGAAGATGCTGACGCAAACCGGCTGTGATGAGCTGAGGTGGACCTGAAGTATGTCACTGCTGCAGCCTTCGGGGAAGCTGGACTCATGGTTACTCAAAGTTTTGTTTTTTAATAAATTGTTGGAAGACGAAGAAGAATAAGAATAGATTTGTCCCTCCTGCGAAGCATTCCTCCCACAACAGGCTGCTTTTCTAAAAGCCATTTCATTGTGTATATATGAAACTGGAAACTTATGACAAAAAAAAGTGGAACAAGTTTCAAATACATTTTGGTGGAAACAGAAAAACAGTGTCACAAACAGCTCACAATAAGAACATTAAATATAATATAAATGCCAATTATGCTGTTAATGGGCAGAAAATGTCCAGACTGTTCTGGGTTTTCTGTTAGAAGAAGACCATCCGCAGTGGTGATACTGGTGACCAGTCACTGTTGGTCTCTGTCCATATAAGAACAGGATGAAACTGCCAACAAAAATATTGCAACAGGCTGGTGAAGGAGAGTCAGAGACACAGATTTGTCCTTTTTGTTGGCAAAAGGATGCTTTATTTTTACACAGGGGCAACAGTAACAACAGAACAGTCTAGCTAACAACCCCGCAAACCTGAAAAATACCTCTTGTGCCAATGGTCTCTCCCTGCCCCCAAACGCTCCAATATGTTTCAGGTTGTTGTTGTACTGATCTAATGACCACAAAGCCTGCCCTCAAAGTTTCTCTTGAGCCAGCACAGACACATCTGCAGCCCTCAAAAAAACAAACATCCCCACCTTCTGTTGAATTCTGGAGTCATTTCTTTGGAAGAGTAAGCAAGGCAATGCCAAAATGTTTCATCAGAGGACTTCAGTGGTGAATTATTGCAAGGGTTCAAGGCTTTATAAGGTGTGGGAGGCTTTATGTGAAATGATTTAAAAATGCCTTCTGCACTATAATGAACCCATTGAACTACCAGACTTTGCAGTGAAAGTCACTG